TAAAAGATTTTAAAGAAGTTTAAAAATTCAAGTGTATTCAATCATGATTTTATAGAAGTCTATACAATTCTGAGTGTATTCAATTCAGACTTTTTAAACTCCATTCAAATTTTTAAACTTCATTCAAATTTGGATGTATTCAATCACGACTTTAAAATACTTCATAAAAGTTTGAGTGTATTAAAAAACTCATTGATTTTAAAGGCAATACAAAAAGTGGGAGATTTCGTTTGATTATAGACTAATTTTAGGTCTTGACAAATTTTTGCTTCCCTGCAGAGATTTTGATAGATATATGATTTTAATTCTCAAGATATGATTTCACCACTTCTACTACCAACATCTTATCATGGATATCACCACCGCCACCCCTTAGCACCACCACCACCACCACTACCACCTCCACCACCACCACCATTGCCACCTCCACCACCATCCCCACTGCCACCGCAACCCCCATTACCAGCCCCACCATCACCCCCACTGTCACCACCACCACCGCCAGCACCATCATAATCACCGCTACCCCACCCCCACTCAACCGCCACCACAACCACCTCGACCACCTCACTCCCACTGCCACCACCACTACCACCCCTACCACCACCACCACTACCGCCACCACTATTACCTCCCCCACCATCAGCCATAAACCGCCATCACCACCACAGTCATCACCCCTAAACCCTTTATTTTTTGAGTGCTATAAATTCCATTAAAATCAATAATAAAACTCTATCAAACTCAATTAAAATCTATACACGATTTCAGTCAAAATCTATGTGGAGTTTGTAGAATTCAGTCAAACTCAATTAAATTAAGGCTTATTTACTGTAGCACCCCCTGAAATTTCGGTCAAATCTCACTGTCCCCAAGTTAAAATGGCCCACTTAACCCCCTTGACCCTGGTTTTGTGTTTCACTTAACCCCCCACCGTCAACGCCATCCAAAAGCCCGTCAAAATAGCTGACGTGGCAAGGGCATTATGGTCAAATCATCCACGGCGGGCAATTGCTGACTGTAGTCAGCATCCTACGTGGCATAGTGGACCCCCACAGGCGTTGAAAATCCTAATCTAAGCGACTGAGTTTATAGAGTCTGTTACTAAAAAAATAATAATAATAAAGGGTTTGCAAAGTCTGGCAAAAGAACCCCTTTCTCAGTCGATATAATTTGGGGATTAGGGTTTGGACTGTATAATCGAAGAGAGAGAGAGAGAGATTCGAACATCTGAGAAGAAGCGAATGTTGCAGAAGAGTGAAATCAGAACAATCGACATCTTGGCATTGCGCGAATATTGGACATATTGAAAAGGACAATGACGGTGCCAAGAGAGAAAGGAGGCTCTCAACCCGAGTATGGTAAGTGGCCCTTTGCTTTTGAAATGGAATCGACGAAAGCGATAGATTTATAAAGAGTGGTCCAGGTTGAAGCTTCTTTATTGTCTGCTTGCTTTGTTGGGTCTGGTCCAAAGGTGTTCAGTTTCATTAGCCTGGAATAAAAAAGTGTTGTGGTCCCCTATGCATTGCTGTTATGTTTTGTTGTTTACTAGTAGTTTAAAGGTTGTTTTAGTGCTTTAAACATGTTAATTGCGTTTGAATCTTGCTCCATGTCTGTTTACTGGTAGTTTGGTGGTTGTGTTGTCCTTTTTAAACTATACATATGACTAGGCAGTGGTTAAAGTATACATATGACTAGGCAGTGGTTAAAGTATACATATGACTAGGCAATGGTTGAACTATACATATGACTAGGCAGTGGTTAAAGTGTGTTTTTTAATGTTCTGTTGTGCAGATGACAAAGCAATAGTCACCTTTGAAGTACACCATGGAGGTAGAATTAATATCCCCAAATGTCAATGAATGGTGGTTTTATGTAGGGGGGTCTGTTGATTATTTGGACTGGTGTCTTCTGGACTACATAAATTTGCTAGAGATATATGCGTATGCAAAAGAGCTTGGGCACCATGACCAAGTGGTTGTGATAGGGATACAAAATGGTAAAAAAGTGTGTATAGATAGTGATGCTTAGATACTTGATTGGTGTAATTTGGTGCCTCCTAGCTTCCAAAGAGTGATTGTCATTTACTTGGAACACCCCACTGTTATTAATGTGAATGAATCTGCAGTGGCTTGGAGGGAGAGGGGTCCTATTGCAAGAAACCTAACTGCTGAATTTGAACAGTCTGGTTATGAGGGTATGTATGAGGAGGATGAGGAGGATGGCATTGCTGTTGATGAGGAGGAAGAGGGTGATGAAGGTACTATTCCTGTGGGTACAAATGTGGCTGAGGATAGGCATGAAGGCACTGCACATGAGGGTACAAAGGTGGCTGAGGATAGGCATGAAGGCACCATTCCTGAGGGTATAAATGTGGATGAGGAGGGTGATGAAGGTACTGTTCCAGATGAGATCAATGTGGAGGATGAGACTATATATGAAGAGGGAGAGAATGACAACCGGGGTGAAAATGAAAGTGAAGACAGTGAAGACAGTGAATTTTATGACAGTGCGTATGAGCAAAGTGAAGATGAACAACGCTTGCTGGAGAAGGATGATAGAGCATTTGACAAATATGTTGACCAAAATTTTCTAGATATTGATCCAGCTATAGATGAAGGAGAGAAATTAGATGATATGGCTGTAAGTGATGTTAATAGCTTGGATAGTAGCTTATGTGATGAGGTTGATTTGCCTATGAGAAAAAGGAAGAGGAAACTGACCAAGTTTGAAGATTTTAGGCATGAAACAGATTTGAATAACCCAATATTTAAGCTTGGTCTAAGATTTCCTAGTGTTTATGTATTTAGGAAAGCAGTGAGAAACTATTCAGTGTTCAACAGAAGGAAGATTAAGTTCTCCAAGAATGATAAAGATAAGGTTAGAGCAGTTTGTGATGGGATCAAGAATGGAAAATGTCCATGGTTTGTTTATGCTTCAGCTGTAAATGGAAGTAGCATGGTTCAAATTAAGAGTTATGAAGAGGAGCACACTTGTGGGACTGTTGAACGCAATGTCCATGCTAACTCATCATGGTTAGCAGAGAGATATGCTACACAGCTGTCTAGAATAATAAATTGGGATATAGGAGCTTTTAAGGAAAGAGTGAATGAAGATCTATGTGTCATAGCTTCAAGATCACAGATATACAGAGCAAGGCAAAAGGCTACTGCTGTAAGTGAGGGCACTTACACAAAACAGTTTGAGACTCTTTGGGATTATGTTGAGGAGCTAAAAAGGACAAATGTGGGAACTACTGTCAAGATTAAGTCCAATTTGGAGGGTGACAAATCCAGATTTGAAAGGATTTATATATGCTTGGCAGCTACAAAGCAAGGATTTATTGATGCTTTGAGGCCAGTTGTTGGTTTGGATGCTTGTCACATCAAAGGGCAACACCCTGGGCAATTACTATCTGCTGTTGGTGTTGATCCTAACAACGGCATGTATCCAATAGCTTATGCAGTGGCAGAGGCTGAGAATTATGCAGCTTGGACTTGGTTTTTAGAACTCTTAGCTGTTGATCTTGTCATTGAAAATAGCAATGGATATGTGTTCATTACAGATAGACAAAAGGGCTTAATTGATGCAGTGGGTGACATGTTCCCAAACTCTGAGCATAGGCATTGCCTTAAACATATGCATGCCAATTTTGTACTTGCTGGCCATAGAGGATTAGTTTTGAAACAACATATGGAGGCTGCTGCAAGAAGTACAACTATACCTTGGTTTCAAGCAGGATGAAAAAGCTCCAAGATTTGTCAGGACCAGCTTTTGATTGGTTGTCAAGGCTTGATCCAATGCAGTGGTGTAGATCTCACTTCAGAACACACTCAAAGTGTGACATTCTCTTGAATAACATGTGTGAGGCATTCAACAGGTCTATCCTTGAGTTGGTGTTGATCCTAACAATGGCATGTATCCAATAGCTTATGCAGTGGCAGAGGCTGAGAATTATGCAGCTTGGACTTGGTTTTTAGAACTCTTAGCTGTTGATCTTGTCATTGAAAATAGCAATGGATATGTGTTCATTACAGATAGACAAAAGGGCTTAATTGATGCAGTGGGTGACATGTTCCCAAACTCTGAGCATAGGCATTGCCTTAAACATCTACATGCCAATTTTATACTTGCTGGCCATAGAGGATTAGTTTTGAAACAACATATGGAGGCTGCTTGCTAGGGAGAGCAAATATGAGGTGAAGTGTTTTGGAGGCACTCAGGTGGTTGTTGCTTTGAGAAACAGAATTTGTTCATGTAGGCAATGGGATCTAACTGGGATCCCATGTAAGTATGCTTGTGCTGCCATTGGGCAGTTAAATGGCAATCACATCAACTATGTCCATGAGTATTACAAAAAAGAGCCCTTCATGAAAGCTTACAAACCCATGGTTCATCCAATGCCAAGCCAAGACTTGTGGCCTAAAACAAATTTCTCACCTTTGTTGCCACCTAAGTTTCATAAGCAGCTAGGGAGGCCAAAGAAAACCAGGATAAGCTCAGCCGGTGAACCATCTCGAAGCTTTAATCCTAAAGCTAAACACTTGCCAAGGTATAATTTGGAAATCAAGTGTTCCATATGTAAGCAACCAGACCATAATAAGAGGAAATGTCCAAGGGTAAATGAAGCAGGGAGTAGCAGCCAGTTATATTCCAGTCATGTGATTTTAAAAGTTCTGTATGTTTGGCATTCTGATATGGATTTCCCAGTGATGTTTGTTTGCCTGGTACCATCACAAAGGCAAAAGAAGACAGCACATCAAGGCAAGACATCAAGTCAGAGAATTACAAGACAATCAAGGCAGAAACAAGCATCATCTTCTACACAATCAAGGCAAAAACAGCCAGTAAGTGGGGTTACTTTCATTCAATTAACATTATGGAACTCTTCATTTGTACATATTAATCCAAAAGCAGCCATGTTAATCTAACTTTGTTATGTTTTCAGATCATATCAAAGGCTAAAAAAAGGACCAATCATGACCAAGCATCTTCTCAGTCTAACCAAGCTCCTCAACCATCTCACCAACCAACTCAACCATCTTAGTTTGAACAAGCCTCTCAAGCATCTCAGTTTCAACAAGCCTCTCAAGCTTCTCAGTTTGAAAAAGCGTATGAAGTTGCTCTATTTGAACAAGCCTCCCAGTCCCAAGTACCAAATTCGTCTCGGCCTTTACAACCTTCCCCACAAAGGAAAGTTAGGTTGAAGTCTCCAGCTAAGAGGAAAGCCTTCATGGCAAAGTTTAAGCCATGGAGATATTGAAAATCTCTCCTCTGTTTTGATGTCTTGCTGTGTCTTGGTGGACACATATGTTTTTGGGTAGAAACTGTTTGTTTGGTATTTTATTGTCTACTTTGTTTTTGGGTACAAACTATTTGGCATTGCCATGGATTAAACAGGTGCATATGAGGTCTTTTGTATTTTGTTTTGGCATTGCCATGGCTTAAACATCTGCTTAGAAAGTATTTTGAGTTATGTATATACAATATATGTACAAGACTGTGTACAATTTATGTACAAGTTATTAATCAATGGCAGTTGAAAATCTCTTAAATGTTTGTAGAATTAGTGGTGCTTACAAAAGTGTCTAGTCTTAACCATTACAAAAGGGCTTTGAAACCATTACATTTGCAAAATGCTACACCCATTACATAAGGCTCTCATCTCCCTAAATTGCCATTCAACTAGGTACATTACACAACCTTACCTAACTTTCAAACATACCAATTGCCTAACTTACTTACATTACACAAAATTGCCAAACCAAACCATAAACACAAAGGCCCAAGAAATAAACAGAGCAATCCACAACTTCTTCTCTCTTGCTCTCGCATGCCAACTTCTCTCTTACACCCATTACATAAGGCTCTCATCTCCCTAACTTGCCATTCAACTAGGTACATTACACAACCTTACCTAACTTTCAAACATACCAATTGCCTAACTTACATTACACAAAATTGCCAAACCAAACCATAAACACAAATGCCCAAGAAATAAACAGAGCAATCCACAACTTCTTCTCTCTTGCTCTCGCACGCACAATTTGATCTTCAACTTCTCTCTTTGTCCTAAGCAGCCAAGCCATCAGAGCTCTCTCACGGCGAGGCATTTCAATATCAACCCATACAAAAAACCCACAACCGTTTTTCCCCCTCTGCATTCCAACAACAATTCCATCACATTCTCAAAAAAATTTGTCCAATTTTCGATAAACTAGCAAATCCAAAATCTACCTCTGATTTTGGACACACAAAGAACCTCCTAAGTGGGTTGGACTCTGTCCAAGAAGTCTGCAGCCGAGCAAGCCTCCCACAGTAGCAATGAGGTGCAACAACGGCCAGCTCTTCTCCTTGTGGAGGTTCTTTCCTCATCTTCACACCCTCTAATCGAAGAAAGATGGAGATATTTTTCTCTGGGGAAGCTTAAATCCTTCAAATGGTGGCAAGTAATTTTTCTGGGTTTACCAACCCTATTAACGAAGAAGAAGAGAGGAGATTGTTATCTGGGGTTCGCTTCACCTCATTCAGTTGCTTAGATTAGGATTTTCAACGCCTGTGGGGTCCACTATGCCACGTAGGATGCTAACTATGGTAAGCAATTGGGCGTCATGGATGATTTGACCATAATGCCCTTGCCACGTTAGCTATTTTGACGGTCTTTTGGATGGCGTTGACGGTGGGGGGTTAAGTGGAACACAAAACCACGGTCAAGGGGGTTAAGTGGGCCATTTTAACTTTGGGGGGGTTAAGTGAGATTTGACCTAAGTTTCAGGGGGTGCTATAGTAAATAAGCCTAAAATTAAATTAAACTCCATCAACTTTATAACTCTTTTAAAATCATTTAAAATCTAAATTGAATACACAGATAAAAATTTGGGAGAAAGTATTTGGAAGAGGAGAGAGGGTGAGTTGTTGCTGAGCAAGGGGAAAAGTTTGATTTCAATGGAAGGAGATAGATAGGGAGAGACTTAAAATCAGGGGGAG